AATATTAAACAAATATGCTATGCATTTCTACAATCTCAAGAATATAAAAACTGGAACTAATACTATTACATAAATGAATTTATATAATTAAATTTCACCTGACGTTGCACAATTTTGGATTCATTTTCATATATTCTATCCCGATATAGCTTTAAGATTGGCCTTAGCTCTTTAAAAAGAGCCAGCCTAATCGAGTTGAAGTCAGGATTACAGAGTTCTCCTGGGACAAGGTAGTTATTTGTTTCGTGTATAGGATCGCTCACTAAAGCATCTCTGGCTTCATTCAATATTTGCTGAATCGTCGAATGAACTTCAGATTCTTGGACCGTGCTTTCTTTAGAATCAGGTATGGCCATGCTGGTTGGTGGTCCTTCAATGGCAGAGGTGAAACAAGCTTTATCCTGGCCCGTCTGAATGACTTGACGAATGCTTTCGAATTGGTCATTCCCATCCGGACTATCTACCTTGTGTTCCATAATGTTGGCGAAAATTCTAGTCTCGTCCCTGTTCATATTTGCGTTCATACAAATGGGTTGATTATATTGAGTGCAACCAGAATCAACTGGGAATATTGTTTCTGTTTGACTAGCTTTTACTCTTTCCTCCAAATCTTTCGTTTTTCGTGTTTTTGATTCTTCCACAGACCTCAAGGTTAAAATCTCTTCGTATTTGTTATTATTTACCGGTGGGCTACTCGAGAAAAGAGAAACTGTCTTCGTAGCTAGAACACTTGGTTCAGGAGAATTTTTATACGAAAGCTTCTTGGATTTGCTATTAAAGGTAGATACAACTTCTGGCTTCGACTCCTCCCTCCGAACCATTCTGCTATTAGCTGGCCGGTTTGTCTGAAAAGATCCATCAACAGACTGGACTGGCCGATGCTTCATAGCGGCAAGCTCGCTTGTATTCTTCACGAAAGAGCTACGTTTAAGTTGCATAGCTGGAGTCGATTTCTCTATCTCTATGTGTAGCTCAGTCCGTCCAGTCCGAGGAAAACTTTGTGGACGAGTGGCCCGATTGTTATTATCTCGATTTACTGGTTTAGAGAAAAAAAGAGTAAAATGAATTTGGCAAGGGTTACAATTTAGAGTATCATGCTAGGAGGCACATGAAGAAAGCTAATTATTGTACAATAGTAATTATTTAATAATTGACTGGTGATAGGATACAAAAAGAAGATTCTTGATTGATAATGCGAAAGCAATTTAAATATTAGTTGTTATTAAATAACTAACAACTCGCTAGATTATATATCATAAATCTAAAAGCAGCTGTGCGAGTGGTTCATAAGCTACCAAGAATAGGAGGCAAAATATTTTATCTTTTCAATCAAATTTATTACTCTGAATAATTCAAATGACTGCAATTTATCCTGGCATAAGTCTTATCAAACACTTCAATTGGCATCATGCTCGAGATGTTAACCCAGAGGACAGTGCATAATCCAGAATAACAAGAATAAATCTTAAAATTTAAGATAGCTTTTGCAGTTTACTTTTACTTAAGAGAGTAGGTGAAAACATTTTATAAAACGAATTTTATTTTCTTAATGAAGCGTATTAAAGTTTTATATAATTATTTAACCTATCTTATTACGCAATATTCAACTGTAATTATATCATTGAATTATATAAGAATGTTAATAATAAAACCAAGATCGTGTGACCATTAGTTTGGTCACATTCTCTTTTAGATGTATAGGTGTGGTCTGACCTTGTTTTTGCAACATGGTCATACTAAATCCACGGTCCAAAGCAAGGAA